GTTTGGTGTCATGCTCCGGCAATACTGACGAGCTCTTGCTACCCTCTAGAGACGTTTTCAGCGGCCAATACGTTTCTCCCGTATAAATATGTCTCACACTTTCCAGTCATTCACTTACTCTTACCTATGGACGCTGAAGGGCTTCTCATTTCATTGATATTCGAACACCTTAGTGCCTCAGCAGTAGGCTCTCTTTTCCACTGTACACAAATCATTTCGTACTAAGTCGCATCTGGTAATTTTCGCCGACTTTATATTTTTTCCTACGGGTGTGTGTGCGCAAAAAAACCGTCCACTGCCTTCACCAATTCCATGTCTTATCCTTTTGGCGACATTCGTCACGTTTTATTCGGCTGTTTTCCTGTTAGAAGTCCGTTCAAGCGTTTTATCCGAGCAAAGTCCTTTAGTCTCCATTTTACACCGTAGGTTAATGTATAGCTCATAAAATAGTGGTAGAAAGATCTCACGTAGCAAAATTCCATATTCTATATGTCATATCACCAAACTGAAAAACATCTTATCGTGCAGTCGGCGCAGCAGATTTTTGCTCCCACTGTCCTGGTGGCACAGTCGCGACTGTCTATTTTCTAAGAGTTAGCTTCGGTTTATTTCATCCCCGGCCTTCACCGACAGCCGTTCCACTATCCATCATTAGCGGACATGCCAGATAACCAGTAGTTAAACCGAAAAGTGAGTATTTCTCCCTCCTGACCTATCGAAAAACATTTTGGTGTACCGATTTGTAGCGAGATATAACTTTCATTTCTAGCACAGCGACTACTTTATGCACAGAAAAAAGTCATTTGGCGCGAATCAGCGGATGTGTCCAGCTGAAATAGCCACCCGGCACATTTACATGAAATTACTAACCAATTTACAAGTTGCTTGGCTTTTCTGAGCGCACCTACTTTAAAACAAAATATTGTGCTCAATTAAAGGGCATTGGGCATTAAACGCTTATTTACTGTGTGCAAGGCGCTCTGTCTACGTCGGCATTCGAATTACACTCCTGATCCTCCCGCATTTTTTTCTTTTTCAGGCTTCGGATCGTGTCCGTGAGTACTTCCAGGAGTTGTATCTCCTTCAACTCTCCCTGAAGTCAACCCTGGACTCCGTACCTCACATGAAAGATGCGGACGAAGGTCTAGGTTTTGCACTGGCCGATGTTATCAACGACCCGAAAATAGACTTTCTCCTTGATCATCCTGACAATCCTAGCACACCCACCCGCGAAAATGCGCGTCAGGAGTCTATTTCTGCCATCGCTTCTCCTGTGGCCACAGCAGTAACTGGTAGAGTGGATGTGCATTGTATTGGTTGTGAGGGTCTCCTGGACGTCTTCCCGGCAGGCCTATTTACCTCAAATCACTCTCCCAGTTCTACTAG